AAAATTTGCATACAAAATCCAAGAAATAACGTTTTTGTACGTAATTATAATGCGTCACAATATTTATGTCACGTGGGAAAGGAATTATCTTAATGAGACTTAAATGTTAATTAAAGTGTGATTCATATGATTTTATTCTAAGATTCGAGTTTCTTTTAATTTAATATATATTTCTTGATGAATTATATAATTTAGATTTAATTAATTTCTTTTCTTCCACTATTTGTTTAAAATATTCACCCATCTTTTCAAATAATTTGGCATTTAAATTCCAATTTTTGAATTTTTAAGTAACTTTTTTAAATATGTATAAACAAGATTTATTTATTCGACAACATCCGAATACGCATAATTTTAGGGGGTGTTTGGGATTGCTTATAAAAATAACTTATTGACTTATTCCGATGTGACACCGGTAATAATCACTTTTGAGTGTTTGAATAAACAACTTATACTGGTGCTAAATCGGTAATAAGAAGTTTTTAAATAAGTTAAACTCTTCTGACTTATAATAAGTTGATAAATGTTTTTGTAGAAAAATATAAGGGGATGTTTGGCAATTGCTGAATGGTTTGGTGCAGAATGATTAGGTAGTCAGAATGATTAAGAGGCTATAATGATATAGTGCAAAATGAAATATAATTATTTGGTTATTGTGTACAATGAAATTAGGGTTCTTAATGGTTAAGGGAGATCCAGGATACAAAATCATTCAGATGGTTTTAAAACCATTAAGAGACATACTTTTTTTTGCCAAACAAGATTCATCTCTTAACAATTCAGAGGTTGGTTATTAATGAAACTATTAAGAGGTAAACAAACAACCCCTAAGTTGTTTCACATGAGCAATCCCAAAACCCCCTTATTAGGCTTTAAATATTAATTGAAATTAGAAAAAATAAAATCTAGAATAAAAAATATATAATGATAATAATATATACGTCAATAAATGAATAATAACTTAATAGAATACGATTATGTGAAATATAAAAACAAAATCAAATCCAAATTCGTATTCTAGAGATGTTAAAACTCGACATTAAATGCGAAAGAAAAATATGCTTTAATTTCTATATCTGAGTTATCCATGTAGGAATATATAAAAGTATACAACTTATTAAATTCAAATGCAAAAATAAAAAAACCTAGAGTTCCAACTTTTGTACCTTAAAAAAACATACTCATATATGTATCTGAGATACATTAACCGCTATCTCATTTATTGATTTAGTAATTAATGTTACTTCAATGTATAACGTGTGACGTCACTAAATTCAAAGCAATAGAGTAGTTCAATAACTTTTAATTCAACTTAAAATCATTATAAAAGTATTCGTAGCCTGCAACTGGGGGAGAAATCACGTTCTATGCTTATGTCGACGACTTGTCAAACTTATTCGCTTAAATTCATGACGTCCACGTTAAACATACCCAGTATCCCAAACATCAATATCATAAGATTTGTCTAAGATGTTCTAAACACTCCCTTAGAGACTCATCATGCTCAATAAGTTTGCACCACCATCCTAGTGGTACAAGATTTGCTCTAATATTATCTGTAACACCAAATTAAAAACTGACTCAATAACCTTCAAATCAATTTTAAACCAGAGCTGAAGTTATTGAGAACTGAGAAGTTGGAACTTACAAAAATCTTGTAAATATCATTATCTATATGTATGAGAGTTATCACATAAGCAATTATAATAAGTTGAATATTTAATCAAATCGATTATAATTAATATTGAAATGGTACACACTTAAAAAAGTTTAACTTATCGAATGCAAATATTTTACTGATTGAAGTTGATGGATAATTGAACTTTTCCGATTACCAATCCGATTAGATGCTAATATCAAGAAAGTGATGAGCCGTATATAGTAATTAAAAGGTTGGATTGTCGGGAAGAAAAAGAAATAAGCCAATACGTGGAGGATAGAAGAATATATACGCTAAATGATGACGTCAAGAACTTAAGAATTAAGGTTTCCAAAATACACAAGACCCACACGAGGCCTGAATTTAAAGTTGAAGCAAGATGAACGAAACGACGAAGAAAGAAGAGACTTGTAGCTCACAAAAGGTACAAATAGAGAGAGTTGTGAGATTCTCTTGATTTAAATCATTCATTCTCAATGGAGGTAGAGAAAGACATGTCAAAAACACACACACACACACACACGCTATGCCATTGAAGCAAAACACTAGAAAAAGGAAGGGGAAAAAGGGATTTTTGGCCCTTTATTAAAGTCTGAAATATACATATAGTGTAACGTACAATTTTTATTGCATCACGTACAAGTTATTACAATAATATGATTTTATGAAAAGAGTTTACCTGAAAAGAAGGGTATCTTTCGATCTTCTAATGGGACAAGTAACCATGTAATATTGTGAGGCCATGGTTGTTACGTTGATTTTGCTTTTCAAGAAAATATCTCCCGCAATTATTAATTTATTAATTATTTACATATTATGATTGTTAGAGCTTTATTCATATTCGTTATTGTCAAGCAATAATATATATTAAAAATCATAAACATACATAAAAATTGTAAGATTATTAAAATTTTGACCACTTGATATCATTTATGTTACATATTTCTCGTTATTGGTTTATATTTATCGGGGACTTTAACTGTAACTACAGATCGTATATTAATTGAATTTTACGCAATTATTTGTGTGTGAATAAAAAAAAAGTAAATATAAATAAAGAAACACTTGTGAGGTTCTCCTACACCAATAATGAGGATGTGTTTGGTTGGAAAGATTCCCCTAAAGTTTTCTTTTAGACGAAGGAAACAAATATGGGTTTTTTAGAGCCATCATAATCACTTAATTATATGTTTGTTTTCCCCTTTTTAATGTCTCATTATTGTGTTCTTGTTACTTTATATTATATGAATACAAAACTTTATTAGTGATGTATTTATATTCATATATTATAATATATAAATTATTTATTAAAAATATAGTTTTTGCGTTAAAATTTTGATTTTCGTTGTTTAGGTTAGGCAAGAACAAACTTTTAGCAAGATATTTTTTTTATTAACCTGGATATCCAACCCGTTATGCGAGCCGACCAAACACAGGACGACCATCTGCTTTGCATATATATGTTAATTAACGATAATGGCAAGATATTAGTGAAACGAATTATGAGCTACAAGTTATATTGAATATATGATGATTAGTTAAAAGCTTTTATTATGTGTTAAATTAGACGTTATTTTCTTTAAGTAGGAATAATATAATACTTCTTGATTTTAGAGACCCATAAAAATGTTTAAAATCATACATATTTCATTGCATGTTAACGGAGATGGCATCGTTCCACCCAGCTCAAAGATGTAAAAAGTAACCCGAGCATCAATCGATCATCTCCAGGTATTTCGTTTTTTCATCACTTTACCATAACTCATCCAAAATCAGTCGGTTGTTGATGTGCTTCCTCTTCCCTCCCAATAGAATACCTGCCTTGTTGACACTGAACTTGGTGTCTCGAACATTTGTAGAGACAGTTTTTAATTGAAATACGAATATCATTAAATCCAAAAGTTAAAGAAGAATGGTTAACTGATACATCATGGTGTTTTCACAATCTACTTTATTTTTCTTTGGAGAGTTGGAAAGAACTTCAAACGATGCATTAACGACATATTGATAAATAAAAACTTCATTTGTTAATATCTTTATTCAACCATTTTATATCCTTGCTTCATTAATGTGGGGACGGTTAAGACCAACAGTAGGGGTGCTCAAAAACCCGATGAACCCGATGAACCCGACCAACCCAACCCGAATTTTTTAAAAAAAACTCAACCCGAGGTAACCCGATGCATGATCGATAAAAAAATTAGCATACCCGACCTTATTGGGTTGGAATCGGGTCAGGCCCAAAAAAACCTGACCAACCCGATGAACCCGACCTTAACTTTAGCTTTGAATTGTAGATGACAATCATGACATGACCAAYCTCAACGTCAAGAAAGCGAAAGCATCGGGGTTGGAAACGTTTAAAACTATTGTTGTTGATTGATGTATTATYATTTGRTTWRAACATTTTTATTGTAATATCTAAATATTTGATGAACTTGTATATTATCTTGAATGGTCGGTCGTATTTYAAAGGAAAGTTTTATTTTATTTTATGTGATTTTACATTGTTTAACACAACCCGATCAACCCGACCAACCCGAACGGGTTGGGTTGGGTTGGGTTGAACTTTTGTTTGGGTTGGGTTGGGTTGAAAATTTTCAAACCGTCAACATTGGGTTGGGTTGTTAAAACGGCTCCAAACCGATCAACCCGGGCCATGAGCACCCCTAACCAACGGTAATTAACTTTTTGTCTATATTTCATTATTACTTGAAAAAAAAAAGTAGCCCACCCCGTTATATTTGTAAACTTTTGGGCTGGCCTTGTTTATATGGTAGCCCAATTCAGTTAGCCCAAGCCCACATCAAGTATGGATAAACTTTTTTTTTATTAACCTGGATATCCAACCCGCCATGCAAGCCGACTAATCCCAGGACGACCACCTGCTTTGCAGATTGCCCGGAGTTACCGCATTTGAACCTCCGTGGCCACAAGAGGATTTTTATTCCTCCTTGGATTTGAAACTAGGACCTCCAAGTATTTTTGATTTTTGGAGCCAAGTTAAACCAATTAGACACCACCCTTATGGTTGTATGGATAAACTTTTTCTTTTTGAAGAGATGTAAACATAGACCTAAAATATATTTTGTTTTCAAGTCTTTTAAAAGAAACAAGGAATGGTGGGAAACTTCTTGGAAATTGCATGTAACCAGTAACCACTGCAAGTAAACGACTAATAAAGCTAAACGACTAAATAACCCAACCCAGGGTGCACCCAACACGCACCCACTTCCCATCTACGTGTCCACCACCTAACACCACGTCTCACTTACACTCCCTCTATTTAAGACCACCTCCAGCCACTTCACTCAAAGTCAACACAACCTCCAGCTCCATAATGAGGTTTAATTGTTCTTTTTCAATTTGTGTTGTACTCTTTGCGTACTTTGTAGTACCTCTCATACTCTACTTCCCCCATGCAATTGCAACTACGGCTTCAGCCGGTGGTGGTGGTGGTTTCAAGATACCGGTGAGTGACGGACCTACGGTAAAGAAAAGTTTGAGGTGGCCTTTAGTGTCGTCGGAGTTTGGTGAAATCTCAGCCGTTAGGATTAATGATGGGAGAAATGGGTGCTACTACCTCCATTTTATTACCATGGAGCCTCGCGCTTTGTTCCTGCCTGTTTATCTTAAATCAGAAATGGTTTTCTATGTCAACTCAGGTATATATATACATACATACATAGATACATGAATCATCGTGTGAGAATAGAAGTAAAAGATAAGAAGTGTAAGAATAAATTTAGATCATTGATCACTGTTAATCCCAAAACAACCTATGAATTATATACGTTTTAGAAAGAAATCGATCTACTTTATCTCATTCATTAATGTTATTCGGTGGTTCTCTTCGATTAGGATTGATCCAAGAATTGTTACCCTTCTTATCGGAACCCAATTCTACATATATTTAATTGTACGTCCTATTATCGATTTCCTTTTCTCACGTGTCAACCATGTATATATATATATATATATATATATATATATATATATATATATATATGATCAGGCAGTGGAACCCTGAGTTGGATCGACGTCGAGAAATATGACGATAAAGTCCAGCAAGTGAAGTTGCATAATGGGGACATCTACAGACTCACTCCTGGAACTGTTTTTTACTTGCAAAACAGCATAAGAGACTCCAAGCACCAATTACCGTTCCAAGATCAGCCACAGAAACTTCAGATTTACGCCATTTTTTCCGATTCAACCGACGAGCTACGAGTAAATGATCATCAACTTATATCGAAACACTAAAATCTGCATCCATTAAGATTCTTAATTAGCTTTATGCTGTTAGTTTTATCACTAACTAGACATTGAATACGATATTAATTTACGACATATCGCAGCATGAACAATTTGATGGAGCATATGTTGGTGTTCAAGATCTGGTGCTAGGGTTTGACAACAAAGTCCTTCAAGAAACCCTCAGTGTAAACTCTCTCTCTAGACATATGAAAGATGATTTATAACGGTAACAAAACGACACTAATTGGTTTAAACAATCACCGGCCAGCTGTTCTAGTGCTTGCATGGAGATCCCTGGTACAAATCTTTCAAAAGACAGTTAAAAAGTTGGACGGAAAACATGAAATGGGTATCTGTTTTCAGGTGCCGGAGGAGGTGATAGAGGAGCTAAGAGGAGGAGAAAGGCAACCACTAATTGTGGAAGGACAACCGAAAGCAAATGGCTCGATATGGGAATTTGACACTACTCAGGTTATCCGAACCCTTTTCCAAACAAAGAACGATGACGACACCTTGGACGTCAAAAACGATAAGGAGCCATACAATATTTACAAGGCTGATCATGATGTCGAAAATTGCTACGGATGGTGTGTAACCGTGACCAAGAAACAACTGGATGTGTTAAAAGACTCCCTTTTTGGTGTAGTCATGGTGAATCTAACCAAGGTTAGTTGTTCAAAACTTGTGTTTCGATTCCACTGGAATAATCAAAGGTTTAATTATGATCATATACGATGTTTTTTGTAATAATAAATAATGAAGGGAGTGATGATGGGACCGCATTGGAATCCAAGTACTGCGGAAGTAGCGATCGTAGTGCATGGACAAGCAATGATTCAAGTGGTTTGTCCTAGCCTTGAGAAGGAAACAATGTGCCAGAACTCAAAATTCAAAGTTGAAGAAGGCGATGTGTTTCTGGTGCCAAAGTATCATCCGATGACTCAAATATCGTTCAATAATGACTCATTTGTCTTCATGGGGTTCACCTCCAACTTAGAAAAGAACAATCCTCAATATCTAGCAGGGCAATCGTCGATTTTCAAAATGTTGGATAAATGGGTGTTGGCAAAGTCTTTTGATGTGAGCAACATGACAATTGATCGAGTTTTGTTGGCTCAAAGAAAATCAATCATCTTAGAATGCACATCGTGTGCTGAGTCCATGGAAGAAGAAACCACCGGAGGAGAAGGAGAAACCACCGGAGGAGGAGGAGAAGGAGGAGGAGGAAGAGGTTGGGAAGGAGAACCTTCTAGAAAGGAAGAGATGGAAAAGGAAGGAGAATCAGGTAAAAGGGAAGAGGAAGAGATAGGGTGGGAAGGAGAAACCACAGGAGGAGGAGGAGGAGGAGGAGGAGGAGAACTTTCAAGAACAGAAGAGATGGAAAGGGAAGGAGAATCGGGGGAAAGGGAAGAGGAAGAGATGGGATGGGAAGGAGAAATGGCGGGAAATAAGGAGGAAGAGATGAGGAGGAGGGAGAGAGAGGCTGAGGCTGAGGCAGCGGCTAGGGGAGGAGGCGGCGGCATGCAGCGTCGTTAAACCAATCCAATGAAGGGAAATAGACGTAATATATATATATATATATATGTGTATAATAAGAAGTTACATAACGAATGCAGTGAGTTTGGTTATGGGAAGTATATGTTTATACGGTTACTCGTGCAATAAATGTATTATACAATTAGTATTAAATAAACAACATTCACTTATATTACATTCAACAGGCTGTTTGATATTTGTTGAATGGTTTGATGCAAAATAATTAAGTGGTCAGAATGATTAAGAGACTCTCATGATATAGTGTAAAATAAAATATAATTGTTTGCTAATTGTGTACAATGAAATCAAGGCTCTTAGTGGTTAAAGGAGATCCATGATACAAATCATTCAGAGGGTTTTAGAACTATCAAGAGACATATTTTTTTTTTGGCAAACAAGATCCACCTCTTAACAATTCAAATGTTGTCTCTTAACCTATACTATCTTATAAAGCAAATTTAACAAAAGTCTTAAAGTCTTAAAATACTAAATGACCAAGATACCATTTATATCACTTTTCACCTTTTCACCCCTCCTCTCCACATACACTCACCCTCTCACAACCGATTTTTTTAAAATTATAATTTTAAATTTACACTTTATACTCTTATAATTAGTTAATTAATTTACTTTACGTCCTTTACTTTTAAATGTTTCATTTTAAACTTTTATCAAATTAATATCATAATCGTATATCAATTAAAACATGTTTAAAAAATACATTTTTATTTTAATAAGTTACACCATTATAATCGTCTCGTTAATACTTCGAAATGAGTTCAATATTGAATATTTTTTTACTTAATTATATTATTATATGTTATATATACTGTGAAAAAAAATTAATATTTACAATTTATACTTTTATAGTTATTTAATATTATATATATATATATAATATATTTTGGGGTTAAGTTGTCCAAATTGCACTGTATAATATATTCTGAATTAATATGTTCTTGGGTTTTTTTGAAATATACATATACATGTATTAATTCAACCTTAAGCTGAGTTTCTGGACAAGAAAAATGGTAAGCAGTTGAAATTTCATTCTAAAACTCATCTTTTTTTGTCTTTTCATGGCTTATGATCTATCAAATTTGTAGTTTTCTTTATTGGTTTTGAGTGTTTATCTTAAAACTCAAGTTTCTTGGTTCTTTGCTCTTGGTGTAAATTGAACACATTTGTGGAGTCGTTTAAATATGTTGGATTTTAAATATATTAGATTTTAAACTGTCATACAATTTTTTTCATCGATTGTCTGTAATTGGAACCATAACTCTTATTTATTTAAATTGTATTAAGACCAAGTGTAACATATATCATCGTTAAATCTTATCTTATAAAACCAGTGGAACTTCAAAATCGTTAAAATTCATGGCTTCCGCCACATTGCGCAAATACACATCTAGTTGAACTATTAAGAGGTAAACAAACGTTTATGGACAATTAGTGTCCCTTTCTATCCATAGACAGAGACATAGAATATGCATAATCAACAATCAATTTCAATTTTCCCTTCTGGTTTATTTTTGTATTCAAATATTTTATTTTCATAATTATTCTTTCTCTATCCATGGATTTAAACAAAAACAAATAGAAAGAAAATAGTTCGTTTTAGAAAATTGGATAACAACATTTTAAAATGTATTGATTAATTACGACATTTATTTATGTGATTCCTAACCCCATCTCAAAACCCTCGATATAAAGCTTTATGGCCTCTCCAACTCAAATCTATCACTAAAATCAACACCACAAGCTGCATTGTCGAAAGTTGTTATCAGAATTCTCACTATACTCGACTCGAACTCGAAACCCAATTTTCGAGCTTGAAAACTCGCAAATAGTAAAAATCAAAGCTCGACTTGAACTCGATAACTATTTCTCAAGCTTGAACTCGAACTAAGCTCGAACTCGAGCTCAAATCAAGCTTGAACTCAAACTCGAACTCAAATCAATCTCACCCATTGAAATTTATGAAATTTTAGGATCTTTATCTTATAAATTAAAAAACTTAAAGATGTTCTTTTAGTTTTTATAAAACTAAAAGGGTCAACTTCAAACTTTATCATAAAAAAAACAAAGTTAGAAATTTCTTGAACTTGGTTACAAAAATCAGAGTACAATGAAATCACCATTACAAAATTCTGTACAAGAATTTGTTAGGCCATGTTCATTTTGTTGATGAAAAACGAAGTTATGATTGTGGGTCCCTTTTAACGAAAATTGAACTGGGTCCCATAAAAACGAATAGCAACGTAGTTAACCATACTTCAATAGAGAAAAATGATGCAGCTTCCATTCTGAAACTTTCATTGTTGTTTCTTCTCCATTTGTGGTTCCTATCATCACCTCGAATGACACAACCAATTTTAGCTGCTTGGTTCAAAACCTATTGGCCTCTTAAGTGGTTAGAGAACGCCTTCAGCTGCGGGTTATCAACGTAAGTACACAACCTTCTTACAAAAATGGGTTCTTTCAGAGGAAGATAAATCTACAGACAAGACAAAGTGACTTGAGCAAACAACAATAAAGCCAGATCCAAACAATGCCACTCCCATCAGTTTTATAACAAATATAGGACATGAAACAGATAGATTGTGTAGAGTGAGAGGTTTACTTGAGAAAATCTTCATCGTTAAAGGGTTGGAAGTCAATCTTCAGGCGGTGAAGATAAAAGAAGCTTGCAAAACACACTTGAAATACTGCCCGAGGACAAGATGGAGAAGAATAAATGAATTAGTGAAGAACAACATCGAAGGGAGATCAAACCTGCAGAAAAGGCTTGGGATCCCCAAAGGCCATCGTTTCAAGTCCCTCCAAGGCCCATGGGATTAGTCGGGTACAAGAAGACCCAGACACCCACGGTTAACCAAAAAAACCTGCAGAAAAGGATCACAATCTTCCTGAATGGTGCATAAAAAGATAGACAATCTAATGCAAGTATCTCAATTATTTTCCCAAATGGTCTCATAAAAAAAATATTACCTTCATTGAATACAAATCCAATTTCATTTGAACAAATTATAGAAAATAGAGATAAAGCACACAGAGGAAATAACCAAGGATTCATTTCTAAGCAGGGTGATATTTGAACTACAATGGGTGCACAAAGGATTTTGAAGTAAGGCAAGGCTTATAGTGGTACGAGGATAGATCGGTGAAGGGAGATTCTTGTCATTTTGGAGGAATTTCATGCGTCACCCATGGGGGGAAATTTCAGGGAGGAGAAAACGTATCAAAGAATAATCTTTGAATTGTTTTGAGTGGGCATGAAGGGAGATATAAGGAATGGGTCAAGAAGTGTGAGATTTGTCAAAAAATAAAAACCTAAGTGGAACAGCTGCCGGCTTGTAGCAACCCATTCCACTGCCGCTAATGGTATGGGAGGAATTGGCTATGGATTTTATGGTAATAGTCGATGGTTAAGCAAATACGTTCACTTCATCCCATTAAAACACCCATTTTCAGCAGCAACAGTAGCTGAAGTTTTTATATGGGAGATTGTTAAACTGCATGGCATTCCGAACTCGGTGATCACGGATAGGGACAAGGTTTTCTTAGCAGTTTTTGGAAGGAGTTTTTCCGATTACAAGGTACAAAGTTAAAGTTTACCACTGCATATCATCCATAGTGCGATGGACAGACAGAAGTAGTCTATCAAAGCATTGAGCAGTACTTAAGGTGTTTTACATTAGAACTGTGGAAGAGGTGGCTGTCATGGGATGAATATTGGTACAATACCATGTACCACAACTCCATTTGTTGTTCACCATTTAAAGCGTTATATGGGAGAGATGCTCCAACAATATTACGATTTAGCGAAGGCTCAACGGTTGTTCCAACCGTGGGACAAATGTTGAAAGACACAGATAATGTGATTGATATGCTATGAATGTTCTTAATGCAAGCACAACATAAAATGAAACAACAAGCTGATCGGCATAGGAAGGAGGTAAATTTTGACGTCGGAGATATGGTTTTCTTGAAGCTTAGGCCCTACTTTTAGGAGAATCAACAATCAGAAGTTGTCCGCACGCTTTTATGGACCATTTAAAGTGGTAGGCAAGGTGGGAAAGGTGGCTTATCGCTTAGAATTGGACTCCATCCAGTGTTTTGTGTCTCTCAATTGAGGAGAGCAATTGGACAGTACGCCTCGTCAACCATATGAATGAATCAACTGAATAACGATATGGAAACGCTAGTAGAACCGGAAGATGTCTTACAAGTGCGGACAACACATGATGGAGGACAAGAAGCATTAATTAAATGAAACATTTACTTGTATTTGGAGCCTCCTGGGAAGAATGTTAAGTGTTGAAGATACAATTTCCTTCTTTACATCTAGAGGATAAAGCGCAGGTCCAGGATAAGTCCACATGGTTCTAGATAATTATCTAAAAATGATTATGTTTTCCTTATTTGTTTTGCTTTACGATTTGTTTATTCTAGGAGTCTTTTACTTATTAGTTTAAATACTTTCATTGTTTACCGTGTTGAATATAAATATTGATTCGTCATAATTCAATCCTCTGCAGTTGAGTAGGGGACTGCAGCCTCTTGAAAGCTGCAAGGTATTAATATTCGACTCTTTGCATTTTTTTTCCGAATTCTATCACTGACCTACTTCATTAACATGTTGAAACAAGTCAATGCTATGGACAAATTGTAAGTTCTGTATGGATTGCAAGGGCTAAGAACTGATGATAATTACTCACCATTTTTGGAGGTTAAGGAGCATTTACAATGGGGTTCTTATCATCGGGGCTCCTTTTCTTTTGGCAAGATCCCTATTAATGTGAAGAATAAACTAGAGGTAATCATGTTATACCCTGTTTAGTGTGGTCAAAATTAGTTGGTTGGGTACAGGTGTCTACTGCAGTAGTACAAGTAGGTAATGCAGTCGGATAGTATAAATAAGAGGTTCGAGGGTTTAGGAGGGGATTTAGTTTTGTAAACACTTTTTTGGACGTGAGTCCTGTGGAGAGATTTTGGCCTCTCGAAAGTCGGAAAACCCCTTGTAAGCATTCGATTAGTGAGAAGCATTCGGTTTTCTTTGAATTCAATCCTTTGACTTTCCCGATGTACATCAGATCATTTGATATAATGGGCATGGCATTTATATGTTAATAGAGTTTGAACATAAACTCCAATTTGAAGTGAAGTTTGATCAAAATGGACCAATTCCTATGGTTTCAATAGGTTACTTGCAATATATTCACCTCATTATTCTTATAACTAAACATCCATGAAATAAAATCTAATGTATTAAAAGAACACAAGTTCCCAAAATCATAACCCTTTTTTCAAGATCACTAAAAACAGAGCAATCAAAGCCATTAATTCTTACATTATACTTTCTCATAGTAAAATCATCACAGGGTTGTGGAGCCATTAAAATAGCATATATAAAGAGCAACTGAGCAAGAAAGGAAGATTCTATTACATATGAGCACGTAAGTTTTTTAAGTAGATGCTTCCAATAAGCAGGAAAAACACACCGTTCAGTTAAACTCAGGAGCTACATAAAGAACTAAGTCAAAAAAAAATTGGATGTCATTTAAAGGTAGGTTACATGCAAAGAATGTAACCACAAGAAGATATCATGCGAAAGCTTAGTACATGATTGGTAATCTTTTTGTTTGAGAATGTAACCACAAAATTACGGAAGCACACTGAATAGCAATTCAATATTCAAAATCTTGCAACAACAACCCATCAAAAAAATGTGACATCTTTCATATGTAAAAGAAATAGAAACAAGTACAGAAATTATGTGGTTCCTTGATAGACAACTTACTTGGATTTCAAGAAGATGGCGATGAATGCCCATGCTTCTATCTATCATGCAGGAGCCATCAGTTACCAATGGAGTGGGATGTGGGATGCATAAGAAACCCATCAGCCAAACAAAATTCGAGTATCAATCTTATACTTGTTTGAACATCCACCCTCTCTTTCAAAGTGTAGTCACCTGTGATCTTCCCGTAAGCTCTCAAAAGTCAACTTGAATATAGTAAAACAAACATTAAAGTCCTAGATATGCAAAATAAACACAAAGCCATCAAGAACCATGCTAGCAAAACCATTGAACAACTTATTCTAAATTCATTGCTCAAGTAACTGATCTTATGGCTTATCATAACCAACAGGTGCAACAAGCCCAATTACTATTTCACCAAAATCATGATTCAGAACATCCTCAAATTCCCCAATTTTTCCATCAAGAGGCACACTTCATGCCTTAAAGCTCATAACAAACCAAATGAATTATCTAGCAAGTAAGTTACAAGATAGATCAATTTGAACTCATAAACGTTCTGATGTAGTCAACAACCCTGTATCCCATAAACGTTCTGATGTAGTCAACAACCCTGTATCCCATAAATGTTCTGATGTAGTTAACAACCCTGTATCCCATAAACGTTCTGATGTAGTCAACAACCCTGTATCCCATATCAATTCCATCTGGTCCAGGACTCAAAATCACACCATCAGAGAAAGTTACATAAATGATACTGCTTTTCTTCGAGAGCATAAATTGGAAAGTGAGAATACTAGCACAAGAAGCTCTTATGATTACTAAAAGTGTCCGCTCTATACGTATAAGAAAGACTGTTTACCATGAATTCATATAAACAGTAACGAAAACTTGCAATATACTGCAATATTGATACAAAAACAGCTACTCTTTACCACCTGGCAAATGATGGCTAAAGATTGCAAAATACAAAAACAGCTACACTTTCAGTTGATCATTCAATATACTAAAATAGCAGACAAAAAACCACCTGGCTTGGAAGATTTACTGAAACCTAAAACACATGAATAAATCAAAAGCTTTATAGTTTTGTTCTTCTGATGCTGTGGAATCAAATAGATGATGCTTATATAGAGAATAGGGTAAAACATAATGAAACCAAAATCATATGGCTGTTGAATAATACACACATGAAATGTTAATGTAGTGAAACCATGAAATCCAAGGAAGTTGAACCTTAAAAGCTTAAAAAATTGATTGAGATGCGTCTCCAAGTATTTGGTATCAAATGTCGAAATTGAGCATGTAAGGTATTAACTAAACTCTTCCAAAAAGCAGGAATAACGCACCTTTCTTTTGATCTCAGAAGCTACAAAAAAAGAACTACACTGAAAAATTAGACGTTATTTAAAGGTAAGTTGGATGTCAGGAACTACATTGAACACATAGTGTGTTTGAGCTATATATCTTTAGCTTTATTGGTATAAGGAATGCAATGAAGAATTGTCAAAGAAGGAAGAACTATCAGGCACGATGTATAAGAATCATAAAAATTGATGAGAGAACTTACTATACAACAAAAGGGAAATGTATTTACATTAGGGCGATTTAAACGAAATCATTCTTGGCATAATATGTGGTTTTGTTTTTCCTGTCTCAAACAATTTCATTTGATGCATATTTAAGTTTCTTTAGTTTGAAACGAAACAATAATAACAACATGATACAGTTCTGGCATGAACAGAGGATTACTTTCACTCTAGGACGTCTATTCAAAAAGGCAAGTTGCAAGAATTTCACTAACCTATACTCATGACATTCTATTAACACCTTTTGTCTATATTAGACACAATGAACCAACATGATTAATGAGATAGGATAAACTTCTAGAAACTGAAATGAGACCAATTAAGTAAGATTAACAAATGAAATCAAATTCTCAAGGTAATAATTGCAGACGCCAAGTCAAAGTTATTTCAAATGTTAATCCAAATCTAAGCTACAAAACAGAAGTCAAACTAGTTACAGGAAAATGAAACAGTGGCATAACATTTGATTCATATAAATTTGTAAAGACTAACCTATAACACATATTCTAGACAAAAATACATACCAAGCATCATCGTAAACTACATCTTAAAGCAATAACTTGAGAAGCAACTAAAGAAGATATTACATTTCGTCATAATACTACATATGCTTATTCCAGAGACATTGCAATGATGGAGTATATTTTGAATGCAAAGGAATACAATTCAATCATATCTGATAGCTAATAGAAAGTATAAGGTCGATGTTTTATTACATTTACTTGAGCTTCAAGTTTTCTTTGTGTACTTGCATGGAGTTCCTTTGGTTGGACAAGATTCTTCAAGACCTACAGAGAAAAATAATGAACCATTAATCCCAGGAACGTTACTTGACATTGTTTCACTAAGCCGACAACAACCATTAGCCACATTTATTGGTACCAACCATACTCAAAACTTCATCAACGGTTCTTTAGTGTTTTATCATCTCTCATATATTTACCCATTTATCTCATTATCGCCATTGGACCATGTTTATCAGTGTTTAACAAGTCCTGCATGACCATAACTGAAATTTGTTATAAAATACATCATAATCAAATGAGATTATCTTGTGACAAAGAGTGGTAATTTGGAACTAAAGACCAAATTAACATTATTTGGAACTAATGACCAAATTAACATTATTGAAAAATAATTTGTGTTTCTTGTCCTCCATGTCTGGTATTCTTGGAGTTGGCAAACTGAATAATCAATGGCTATCGCAACCCTAAAGTGTCAAAATCAAGATCAACAAAATACAAACACGCACAAACCTGGAGTGAACTATTTTTGCAATGAGTATGTTGATTTTATAGAATCAACTTCTGCCCTCTAAACTGAGAAAATAGGTTTTAGGGAAATCGAATTTCTCAAATGAAATTGGGGAAGTCTAGAAAACTGGGGGATTTTGGATGTTAAAATCAATTGGGGCTAAAAGGGTTTGCAAACCATGAGATTAAGCCCACAAAATATATTATGAAGCAGGCAACAAGAACCATGTAAATTTACGGAAGATAAACCCTTGGTAAAGTTGAACATTGACATTACCAACTTCAAAATCATCCCGATGGGCCGCCTAGTGATCCTCGTATCAAATATCTAGAATACCGATTAGAGGGAAGAACTTGCAATGATTTGATAAGTGGTAGTTCAACACTTCTATATCCATATGAAGCATCCAAACAGAACATCATGAAAAATTTTAAAAGTGCGTGAAATGTAAAAATCTAAAGAAACCAAGACTACCGGATCGGCAGATTACTTAAACCCCTGTGCATGTTCTGCATCTCCAAATTTGCCTAATAAATGCATCACGAATATCTATCTCAATTTATAACGGAATTGTGATATAAATCAACTACAAAAATGTCAAACTACTCTTATATTTGCTAATTTATGTTTAAGGGTGGATTTAGTATGGTATCAAGTTTTTTTTTTAATATCGTGTTTCAGTTAATTATAATTTATATATAAAATTTTATATCATGTACTAACTAACCGTACCTGATATAATTTTTTCGACCGGTACATGTTGGTATTGGTTTTGTGTCAACTTCAAGTTATGTATATAAAAACATATCGTTTTATTCAAATTTTGAGTACAATTTGAGTTTTCAAGTAAAACATATGATGTTTAAATGTTCTTTATTGCAAATATTTAAATGTTCAAACGAAATAGTTAAAGTTACAATATTTTATATTCAATACACAAAAAATCCAAAGCTAATATATAATTAAATAAGTCGGTGCAATTATATTAATGTGATATGTGGCTTCTAATATTGTGCGTTAAGCCGTTAACCAAGTTTGCGTGAGTGGTACAATACTATCGACCAACTATAACTGGCATCAATTTAATTAATATGATTGATATATATGTTAAATAGTTTGGTTTAGTATAAAATTTTCTCCGTTTTTGTCTCATATGTGGGTGGGCCACAAATCTATTCATGTATTTTCCTTACTTTATTTTAAAATAGTTTATATCGAATAACCAAAAGTCAAAAATCACAATTAACTCCGATATATAAATTATTCTTTAATTTTATCATCTCAATATATAATTTTAAAATAACATTAATCTCTCCTCGATGAAAATCTCATTTAAAAAAAAACTTTATATCAAAAACTAATAAATCAATGTCGTTGATGGAAAATATTAAAATAACATTTCCCTCGTTTTTAATATAAGGTTTTAAATAATTATTTATATTTGGAGTTTTCTTTAGGTTTCTCTATTTTATAAAAAGAAAATAGGGAATCTATTAGAACAATACAGAGAACAAAAACTTCATTTTCTCTATTTTAAAGAATCTGTTGGAGATGTTCTCATATGGTGTAGTTCTTTCGAAAATTGTCTACTCATTTTGGGTATTTAGTGTGTTTTTTTATTTTTACCAGTTATACAAGTTATAATCATTTTTTATGTTATAAAGATTTGGTTAACATGTTTTGAAAAGTTTAAAAAAAATTGCTAAAACATGGTCTAAAAACTTAATCACTTAAAACGAGAAACTTTATTGGATTTTTTTGAAATTTTTTCTATTTAAAATACCCATTGCTTTAATTCTTACTTTTACCAAACGAGTTTCGCTTCAACAATTAATAATTACTAGGAAAAATATGATACCTTATACATGTGTTTGGTAGAGATTATTTATATGAGACTTGTAATATAAACTTACAGAGTTCACCTTTTTTTTCTCACGTCGGCTATTAATATTACCTTATATTATTTCCATAGTAGTATATACCGTTTATGGCAATCTTTTCCCCACCATTTGTGCGCTAATAGATACATCTCATTTGTTTGCTCTTATGTTCCTTTTATCGTCTCCTCTTTTAACGTCGTCTTATTCACCCGACTGAACATCTATTCGCCTTCGAAACTTTCGAAAAAGCAAAAGAAACACAAGAGGTTGAAGACAAATAATTCTTGAACAAGATTAAATGGGTGTTTGGGATTGCTTATTTGAAACAACCTATGCTTTTCTACAAAAGCATTTATCAACTTATTATAAGTCAGAAGAGTTTAACTTCTTAAAAAACTTCTTATTACCGGTTTGGTACCGGTATAAGTTGTTTATCCAAACACACAAAAGTGCTTATTACTGGTGTCATACCGAAATAAGTCAATAAGTTATTTTTATAAACAATCTCAAACATACCCTAAGAGGAAAAGTTGAATAAGGTGTCAGTAGATAAGATGTCAATTAAGTACTATTTTCCCGAATCTCTTTATTATTTCTCAAAAATCATTTCATAATAAAAAATCAAATTGTAGGCTCAATAGTTAATTAGTATTCATTAATTTTTATGATAGCAATCAATATATTATAGTACATGTTTATTTAAAACCTATCGACTGATTATATTTTTATCAAAACAATTATTGAAGTTTGTTAATGTGTGATAATACATTATTATTTTATTATTCAACTAATAAAACTATTTGGTGAAAATTAAAAAGACTACCTCGAAAATCAAGAAACGATAAACATGTGTTAAAAGCGAAATATGAATTTGAGTTTTTTACTTTGAAAAGATATATATCTAAAAAATGACAATTTCAAACGTGAAAAAAACCAATAAAGTCCAAGACATGTGCCTAACTAAAACCATGTTAAAAAATATAGCATTGAAAATAGTATTGATGATCCGCTATAGGAAATAAATTTAATGAAAATAAAACCAAATACTGGCATTTTCTATCCAAAATGTGTTGAGCTATATAATTTTGTTTGTTGTTGATTAACCTAAATATTCAACCCGTTATGTGAGCCGACTAATCCTAGGGCAACCATCTGCTTTGCAGATAGCTCGGAGTCACCGCATTTGAACTTCCGTGGTCACAAAAGGATTTTTATTTCTTCTTGGATTTGAATCTGGGACCTCCTGATATTTTTGATCTTTGGAGTCAAGCTCAAACCAATCAGGCACCACCCTTGTGGTTAGATATATAATTTTATCGATTATAAATTAGAAATATACTTTTTTGTCTTCATCCATGGATTGTTTATTTATAACGAGTCAATCGGACGTATGGATCGATGTGGATCAAGCTACAAATTTGAATTGATTCTAGTATATATAAGGAATTTTCGTAAGTAAACAATAAATTGTTTTATCTATACAAGTACATTTTTTATACTTTTAACCCAGCATCATTTAAACAACGATTTTTGTTTAAAATTCATAGGTGAAATAGTGATTTTTGTCTAAAATTCATAGCTTGTTTCGTTTGTATCAGTAGATGGTTCATATGAAAGTTGGAGTAATGTTTTTGTAGGTGAAACACAATAAGAGAAACTAGAAAATGACAACATTTATAAATGTTTTATATATGATTTTTTTTTAGTAAATGTATTCATATGTGAAATAGAGTAAGGGATTGTTTGTTTAGAAATGGTTGAATGTGTTGTACAAGGCTTACAACTTATTTGGTAAGCTACACAAAGTTGTTTAGAAAGTAGCTTAATTGCTAAAAAAGCAACTTATTCAGTCAGCCTAAAAAATAGTCATATAGACTCGACCGTTTATCATCTCATTTACCCCCCTTTACCCTTCTTTTAATCCTCTCCATCCCCCTTTTCATCTTCATTCTCGATCCATACAAAGATGATGGCGTCACACAAAGATCTGTTTACTACTCCATCCATCAATCTGCAAATCATGTTGTCTCCATTAATCAATAACTGGGTTTATTCTATCTATTGATAATTAGGTTTGGGCATCGACCAACAATTGCTCCCTCTTTGTTTTAGGGTTCTACATCCATTGTTTCCCTTCTTGCTTCGATTTTTTCAAGAAATATAGGGGTTCCGCTATTAAGAAGGCTTGCAGATGGACAAACTATTGGGTTGGGGGACTATTGTAGTCGATTCATAGAGGGTATATATGCAGAACATGCCTTCTTCCTCCTTTTCCATTCGTGTTTTCATCCATTCACCATCAAAAAAAGAAAACCATCGTGGGTTTGGATATTTTTCTTCCGTTTCAAAAAGAGCAAATCAAGCATTAGTTGGTTCTTTTTTCATTACTCACCATCAAAATATAAGAGCAATTGTGGGGTTGGCTTTTTTTTTTTTTTACATCTATTCCTTGTCAAAAGAGAGATAATAGGGGTTGAATTCATTTTTTCTAGGTTTCTCCCGCTGTGTTCTGTTTCTTGTAAATAGTTGTTCACCCTCTTTGAAATCTTGTTTATTGTCATTGGGTTATTGCACTTGAAAAATGGTGGGATCGTGTTTGGGTTCTTGTTTCTTCCTTTGATAATCCTTTGTTATCGTTGAAGCTGCTATTTTTGTTGTTTATTGTATTTGACAAATTGGAGGAACAAGCATCATTTTTTCTTAGAAGAGTGTCCCAAGCTATGCAGAACAAACACCATTGTTGTCCAATATAATACAAAAGTACATTGTTAAATAAACAAGTAACAATTAGGGTGAAATTATCATTTACATCATTTAGACAGTTTATCCAATGCAACAACCGAACACCAATCTAACATAATTCGTACAAACAACTTAGTCTATATAGAGTTTAACAATAAACAAATCAAATAGCCCCTAAGAAACCAAAAAGTGACATTTTTATAGGGTTTCATACGTAAATTTAAGTAACCACAAGGGTGGTGCCTGATTGTTTTGAGTTAGGCTTCAAAGGTCAAAAGTACCTGGAGGTCCCAGGTTAAAATCCAAGGAGAAATAAAAATCTTCTTGTGGCCACAGAGGTTCAAATGCGGTGATTCCGGACTATCTGTAAAGCAGGTGGTCGTATGGATGGTGATTTGCTCCGACCCGGTGGGGAAACCGGTTCACCCGACCTGAACGGGGATGGGGATTCCCTGCTAAAACGGGTCCCGGGGCAGGGGCTGTGGATCCCCGGTAGACTCAAACCGGGGACGGGGCTGTGGATCCCCGTAGACTCAAACCGGGGACGGGGCCGGGGACAAGGAATGTTACTCAAAATGGGGCCGGAGTCGGGGCCGGGGATCCCCGGTATAATCAAACTAAAGCATACTTTTTACCGGGGATTGACTGGGGTTTACCGGGTTTTGACCGGGGATTGCTAGAATTTGACCGGGGACGAGATGATAATCCCCGTACCCGCCGGGGACCGGGGCCGGGGGACGGTATTACAAACCGGGGCCGAAGCCGGGGATTACAAAACCCGTCCCATCCCCTCCCCGTTGCCATGCCTAGATGGTCGTCTTGAGATTAGTTAGCTCGCATAACGGGCTGGATATTCAGGTTAATAAAAAA